AAAAGATAATTAATTAATTAATTAATTAAAATAACTAAAGGACAAATCGTTATCATTCAAAAAAAAAAAAAAAAAAAACCTTTCACAACGGTCGCGAGTCATTACATTCGTAAAGGTACAACCTCACGAATTGTGGTTATGAATGACAATAATGACAATAATAATAATAATAATAATAATAATAATAATAATAATAATAATAATAATAATAATGATAATAATAATAATAATAATAATAATAATAATGATTTTGCAAGGTTGATTTTAATATATACACACATATATATTTTAATTCTCGAAACGTGAAAATAATTACAATTATTATTTTAATATAAAATCTCTCTAAAAACGAAAAATACAGAAATAGAGACAAATAGAACCACACACGACAGCATTTTCTTTCTGTTTTTAAATGACATTTGACCCCTTTGAAAAAAAAATAATAATAATACTAATAATAATAATAATAATAATAATTTTCGTTTTATCAATTCCACGAGATGAGAACAATCATCTGATTCAATAATTTCTCAATTTAATAATTTCTCGAAAATGTAAAAAAAAAAAAAAAAAAAAAATGGCGGAAAATAAAAAACCCAAAAAAAAAAAAAAACCGAACCGAAAACTTTTTCTTTTCTTCCCCCCCCCCCCCGCCCCTTCATATTAAGATCAAATGTCATCGGTAAAAACGTTACGATGATAAAAAAAAAATTTGATTTTGGAGAGACAATGTCAAGGTCAATTATGATAATCCCTAAATTCATCCATCCATCCATCCATCGATAGATCGATAGATCGATCGATCAATCAATCATTCTTCATTCATAAATTTTTTTTTTTTTTTTTTGTCATCGACGACGACAACACATCTATCTATCTATCTCTTTTCAAAAAAAAAAAAAAAAAATTTATTTAAATGTTACAAACATATTTAATAAAGAAATTAATTGATAATTGATATCGATGGCTCGATCGATCGACGTCATATAATTAAAATAAATTATGATAATTTACATTTAATATTCGATTATCTCGATTATCACTCCCTTAGAAAAAAAAAAAACCACCGCCACCTGCACTTCCGGTTCGTTCAATTTCTAAAAAAAAAAAAAAATAAAACGCGACTGCACCGCCATTCACCATCTTAACCCCCGTCGAAAGATGAACCGTTTCCGGTGATACGACCGACTACTTCCTTTTATTTTATATTCAACCCATTTTTTTTTTTTTTTTTATTTATTCTTTAGGCTTTCCTCGTTATAATTTTACAGGACGCACGCGCACATGTACACACACACACACGCACAAACGGACACAATGAAATATATTGTCGAAGGTCAATTATTGACCTTATTAAATAGAAAGAGAGAGAGAGAGAGAGAAAACGGGTTACCATTTATATTTTATTTTACTTTTTTTTTTCGGTAATGAGAACAAACAAACGAATTGAATGAAATGCCTAATGGTAAATGATAATAATAATGACAATAATAACAATAATAATAATAATAATAATATTTTAAATTATTTCGTGTTCGTCAAATGGGAAAATCATTAGCGGCTGAAAACGTTAGTCGTGATCGTCAATTTGCCCGCTTTTTTTTGGAAATTCCAAATATTTCGAGAACGCGGAAGGTTACAAAACAAAAAAAGTCATAATAATAATAATAATAATAATAATAATAATAATAATAATAATAATAATAATAATAATAATAATAATAAATAAACGAATACAAAGTTTATGCGAATGTTATAATATCACAAACGACCTAAAAAAAAAAATTATAAAAAATTAATTTTTTATTTTTTTTATTTTTTTTTTCACGAACCGACATAAATTATTTATTTAAACAAATAAAAATTTGTTTAAAAAAAATTCAAGTCAATGTCATTTAATTAATAAATAATTAATCGAAATCGTCGATCACGTGACACACAGACAGACAAAAACGCAAAATTATAATAATAATAATAATTAATAAAAAAATTAAAAAAATTTTTTTTAAGTGGGTTTTTTTTTGCACCCGTTCCGTTTGTTATTTATTATTATTATTATTATTATTATTATTAACAACAACAACAAACGATGTGATAATGCGGAAAACAATTAATCATTAAGCGTGGCTAAGAGAGAGAGAAAAAAAAAAAACTTTTTTATTATGTTATTTAGTAAAATGCACGTACTCGTGTTACGGCACGAACCCACCGGTTCGAATACTCATTTTCACGTGCTTGGTACCCACGTAATACGATACAATCATTGATCGATTTCATTTTTTTCTTTTTCTCTTTTTTTTTCGGTAATTTGATACGATGTAAATAATAATAATAATAACTACGACAACGATTTTCCGCTTCTTTATCAAAAAAAAGAAAACGCGTCGGAAAAAGACAAAAAAAAAGAAAAAAAAATTTTTTACGAAAAAAAAAAAACAAAAAAAAACAAAAAAGAATTTTCCGACGAGGATGGGATTCGAACCCACGCGTGCAGAGCACATTGGATTAGCAGTCCAACGCCTTAACCACTCGGCCACCTCGTCCTTGTACCGCATCTCTATAACATTGAATACTTCAACATCCTTGAATAATAATAAACCGGATGAACATCATTTTATTTCGTCGTGCTACGATCTACCGGTCGATTTCGAAAGTTAAAAACATCGTTTAAATTAACCGCCAAATCAATAGACTCCGTCGTTTTAGACTCCGTAACATTTCCTTCCAATTTTTTTTTTTTTTTTTTTTTCGTTAAAACGACTTAAATTATTAATTAAAAATAAATAAATTATTATTATTATTATTATTATTATTATTATTACATATTTAAAATCGATAAAACAACCGCGAATACAAAAAAAAAAAAAAACTCGACGAGTGACGAAAGAAAAATTTCGTAAACATCATCCATTAATTAAATATAACACGTTTCACGTACAAAAAAAATAATAATAATAATAATTTTTCATGAAAATATCTAATCATTTAATGTCGCTAATAATACACAAACGCACACGCACACACGCACACATAAAAAAAATAAAATAAGGGAACATTAGTAAAAAAAAAAAAAAAAAAAAAAAATCCACCACCACCACGAGAAAAAATTACGCAAGAAAATAATTAAAAAAAAAATTATGTAAAAATTATTATTATTATTATTTTCATTCATGTTCAGAAAAAATGTCCTCCATTAATAATAATAATTTTAAACAAATTTATAATATATTTGTAATGTGTGCGTGAGTGTGCGTGTGCGTGTGTGTGCGAGTCGCAAAAATAATAATAATAATTCACGAGAAATAATTAATTTATCAACTCGGACTTGGGACTACTGACTTTTATATTGACCTTTCACCCCCATTTTGTGAAAACTGTTCTTTCCTTTATTTTTTGATCTTCGACCCTTCTCTCGCTCCGTTCAGAAATTTCTTAGCACGCGAAAAAAATTTAAAGGAAAACAAACGTTTGTTTTTTTTTTTTTTTGCGAAGCCATCGCGTTCATCATTTAAAAAGCCAAACGTCGACTGATAATGAAAGAAGCCATTATGTGTGAACGTCTGACGTCTTCCTTTTTTGTTTTTTTTTTTTTTTTTTTTTTTTGATCTCGGCGTATCAAAGAAATGTCGTCGTCTTTTGTGGAAAAATCCCAATGGAATTTAACGACGGTAGTTTTTTTTTTTAATAAATAAAAAACGGGTAATTTCTATCCCGAAATGACGTAAGAGCGGAACGTGCCGTGGGATGTTGTTACACGTGGTGTGTGAGTTGTTCCCACAACTTCATCATCGGGATTCTCCCAAATCCCGATTGTTTTTCTTACTTCCAAATATTTCCAATCATCTGACGAAACAGGTTTTTTTAATCGACTACTTGCTATATCCTTTTCCAAAACAAAAAAAAAAATTCCATCGAAAACTTTTTGAAAATGTCGTCGTCGTCGTAAGTCATCCGACGAACGATTTTTCTTCTTTCTGAATCCGTTTGTGATGATTTGTTCCGAGAACGTAATAACCTCTCAGATGCATTGATAGGAGTTGAGGTCACGGATCCACACAAAATCTTACTTGCTGATTAAATAATAATAATAATAATATTGTGATTTTTACTTACAAAAGCAAAACCATCTTGGATTATCTCCCCCACCTTCACCCTCCCTCCGCCCCCCACGAAATAATATTACGTAATAGTACGCCTTTTTTTCCCCCTCTCATTTACGTCATCGTGCTTTTCACAAATCCCGTAATACCCATTACAATTTACTACTCGTCAAGCCGTTCGTGGATTTTTTTTTTCATCTTAATCAATTTTACATCATTCGAACGGTTCTCCGCGTACACGTCACCCAAAGAAAACAAAGAAATTAAATGATGTAATGCCTATTTATACATACATAAACCAATAAATCCAGAGAGGGAGGGGGGAGGGGTTGGGGGAGGAAAGAGAGGAGGTTGGGGAGAGTCCAAATCACAATAAAAAAAAAAAAAACAAAGTCGCGATCACAAATGGCGAGTGAAAGAATGGCGCAAAACAAATTAATAAAATAACAGCCTTTGGGTTAATAGATTATTAAACATTAGGCTTTTGTCAAAAGCAAAAATAATAATAATAATAATAATAATTATTATTATTATTATTTAATTATCAGTTAAAGTCGTGACCTTTTGGACGCGAGACCATCGTAAAGATGGGTCGTTTTAAAATAATAATAATAATAATAATATATGTTTATTATGATAAGTTTTTGTTTCATCATTGTGTATTGCATTTCAGTAGCGAAGAAGATACGTTCGGTACAATACTATCCGCGAACGCCCGGAAAAATAATAATAAAATTTTATTAATTTAATAAAAAAAAAAAAAAAAAAAAACACGAAGAAACAAGATGAAAATTATGTGAAAGGTATTTTAATTAATCGATTAATCTATCGATCTATCGAACTATCGATTCACAAAACAATTTTTTTTTTTTTTTTTTTTTTTTGGTTTTTATGTTTGTCATGACAAATGATCGAAAATTCGGATATGAAATTAATAAAACCGTTCGGAAAAGACGACGTGATATAAGGGTGCGTTCATGAATTGGTTTTTTTTTCTCTCTATGACGTCACATTTACGAGTATACCTATTTTATTTACACGCGTATTTATACATACATTTAAAAAAAAAAAAAACGCGTGTTCCACGTGGAAAAAAGCGTTTTAAACAATAATAATAATATTAATAACGTATTTATCGATCGATATATCGAATTTTCCATCGATTTATTTATTCTAATATCGAAAATATCCATCCTTATTTCGTTACTTATAAATTAAATAAATAAATAAATATTAAATATCTTTGAAAAAGATAAATTGTTTTAAGGAATAGAAATATATATATATATATATGTTTATTATTAGGCTCACCTATTTCAATAAAAAAAAAAAAAAAAAAATACATCCTAGTTTTTAATATTTAAGGAAAATTTTATCTTAATAATACTCAGTCAGTTATCGATTCTTCATTCTGTTTCTGTTTCTGTTGTCATCAATCAAACTACTACTACTACTACTACTACTACGTACTTGTGTCAAAAGTAAAGAAAAAAAATTTGTTTTTTGTGTGTGTGTGTGTGTGTGTTTTATAGTACTCGCGTATAATCCAACCGAATCGTTCGCCTCCCCCCCCCCAAAAAAAAAGGGGGTAAAAAAAAATTAATTTTTTTTTTTTAAATTTCAGAGCACGACATCCACCGACAGACTTCTCAACAGTAGCACAGGTTCGGGTTTGTCGCAATCGAAAACAGCAATCGGTGCACATGTATTGCATTCGATTCCGCCCAAGACGAGTTCAAAATCCAATCACAGGCCCTATCATCAAACGACAACGTCTACGGTGTCCAAGCACGCAAAATATGATAAAGTCCCGACTCAGGACAACCTGCATCGAACCTACGATATTAATAGTAAAAAATTAGTTTCTAAAGTTCCTAAATTTTACAAAGTTCTACCGCAGACATCCGTGAAAAAAAACGACGACATGGGGATCGACAGCAAGTCACAAATGAAACAAAACATGTCGCAAATATTCAGCATGGAGGAGCCCATCAAACCCAACAAGGATTTGTACGTCAGAACGAGACACGATGAAAGCATTCCGATCAAAGACAGAAATTCCATTTGGCCACAGGTGAGTGAATTTGATTAATTACAATCACCACATTGAACCACGTCCCCCCCCCTCCCCGATCGAAAAATAATCATAATAATGATAAATCTAAAAACATTCTCGATAAGTTTCATTCATTCATTCATTCAAACAAATTCGAAGACAAAAAGGTTACGTAGGAAAGACTTTGAAAGGTTCAAAGTACGTTTTCGAAATTCTATCATGTAGAACGAAAATGATGGTGACGGTCGGTCACCGCCATTACTTACTCCCTCCTCTTTACAGATTTTCCTTTGAGACGACATTACCTGCTTCCACGACTAAAAAAAAAAAAAAAAAAAATCAAAGCTTACGACAACAACAACAACAACAAACAGAGATTTTAAATCGCCATTCACAAGAATGTAATGTGATATAGGATGGTTTAGGCTGACTGACGTGTTTGATTTCATTTTTAAAATCACGACAGAGAGGAGGAGGAGGAGGAGGAGGACTCCTCACATTGTAACTCATTCGTTTGTTTTTAAAGTGTCACGATTTAAATTATTGACGTGTAAATAAGAAAGTTTTTTAAATCCACGAAATTTTTTTTGTTCTAAGTGATGACGTAACCGACGTGAAAAATTTTTTTAATTTAACCGAGTTTCAAGCTTGAACCTTTTCGCTGGTTGTCGTAAAATCGTTGCTACCACCCCCCCCCACCCCCTACCGAATTACACGTGGAAAGAGAAAAAAGAAGAAAATTTATTTAGCAGCAATGAGATTTTTCTTTTTATCTAATCGCGAGTTATGTAGTTTTTTCGTCATTTAATGTTTAAACTGTCCTAATAATCGTCACTATGCGTCATCTTGTTGTTTTCGGCAAAATCACTTCTGCTGCTGCTGCTGCTGCTACCACCACTGCTGTTGTTCCTGCTGCTGCTACGTCGATCCACGTCATAAAAACCCGCGAAAATTTTTTTTTTCTTTTTTTCTTGCGCTCTTCGTGAAATATCACGTTCGATTTTTTTTTAAATAAGTAAAACCAATTTTCCTGAAATATAACCGGAACCGGAAAAAGAAAAATTTTCTTCTTCATCTTCTTTTTCTCGTTTTTCCAAATGCCAAATTTTTTTTTTTTTTTTTTTTTTGCAACAATGTCAGACCTTGTGAGTAAATTATCCGTTTAGTGCAAAAAAACAATTCGAAAAAAAAAAGGCATATATTATTTTTTTTGCGACAAACAATCATCTTCCGGTCTGTGTGTTCTACGTCCTCTATTGACATTCTGAACTTGGCATATTTGGTGGTGGCGTGCCAGATTATGATAATGATAATTCTTAGTAATGAAGAGAATGTCAAAGGATCGATATTAAATAAAAAACATTATTGTCATCGTTCAGTTTTTTCAAGTCTTCCGATCCGTTACCACCAAGTTGTTTTTTAAAATGGTTCGGGTTTTGTTACGAGCGGATACTCACGTGGATTTAAAAATTCCAGAAAATGCTCCGGAAGGAAAATGCTCCAAAGAACAGGTAACCGAACGCTTTTTTTTGATCCTTTTCGAAACCTTTTCTCGATGTTATTTCCGGTACGAAAAAAATCATTTTCACGTGTTGCCAACCTTTTACCAAAAACTCTTCCGATAAATGTTATTCATTCATCACAAAATTCTAGCAGAAGACAAACAGAAAAATCGAAAATGTCCATTTTCAAATCGAAATTTCGTTTTTATCAATTTATTATTATTATTATTATTAATATTATTGATAACAAAATACGAAGGTTGACCATATAATTTTCTTTATTGTCGTTAATAGTTAATAAATTTTGCAAAAAAAAAAAATTCTTATCCCGATTTTTCCCCTTGATCTATCACTCGTTAGACACGTGACAAATTTTTCTATTTTTTTCTTCGGTGATAATAATGATGATAATTATTGAAAATTAATAAAACGTTTTCTTTTTTTTCTTTTGGAATCGTTTTGTATGAGTCCATTGACCCTCCTACGTTTTATATTCCAATCATCAGGTGCAGGAGGTTCCCACACGTGGCACGGCGAAGTTAAATCCATCCGAGGATTTTTTTTTTAAAACATTTTCAGGTTATGGCAGCCGTTTCCGTGTCTTTGGGTTCCATGATTGTGGGCTTTGTCAGCGGGTACACGAGTCCCGCGAGTGTTTCCATGAAAACACTTGAAAGCGAATATTTTCCAGTTAGCGAACAGGCTGTGAGTTGGATCGGTGGCATAATGCCTTTGGCCGCTTTACTCGGAGGTATCGTCGGAGGTCCGTTAATCGATTTTCTAGGACGTAAAACAACCATTCTTCACACCGCCATTCCTTTTATTATTTGTACGTTCACTGATACATTTTTTTTTTTTTTTTTTTTTACAAATTTTTTCTTTTTAATTTAAATTTAATTTTAATTTTTTTTTAGCATCTTTGCTAATTGCGTGCGCTACAAATGTAGCTTACGTGTTAGTAGGGCGAGCCATCGCCGGAATATGTGTCGGAATATTATCTCTTTCGCTACCCGTGTACTTAGGAGAAACCGTACAACCGGAAGTTCGAGGAACGTTAGGACTTTTGCCTACGGCTTTGGGAAACACAGGTGCGTCCCTTTTCTTTTTGTCTATTATCCACCAAGGTGATTGACAAAAACAAAAAACAATGAAAATAAATTTATTCGATTCAGGAATCCTCGTCTGCTTCTTAGCTGGAAAATATTTAAATTGGTGGGAGTTGGCATTTTTAGGAGCAGCAATTCCAATTCCATTCCTTATATTGATGACTATCATTCCGGAAACTCCACGATGGCATTTTTCAAAGGGTAAATAAAATTCGAATCCTTATTTAAAAAAAAAAAACTTTTTTATCGATTTACCAAATATTCATCGATCCAATCAACAAAAATATTATTAATCATCAGGCGATTCGGAAAAAGCGAGAAAATCATTACAAAGACTACGAGGAAAAGAGGCGGATGTGAGTTTTGAATTTCAAGAAATAGAAAGAACAATGGCGGTCAACGAAAAAGAAGGAAGCGAATCAGTATTAAAAGACTTGTTCTCTTCGACCTGCGTCAAACCTCTTTTCATTTTAATCGGACTCATGTTTTTCCAACAAATGTCGGGGATCAACGCCGTTATTTTTTACACCGTTACCATTTTTAAGGTAATTTCAAACGCATTTCAAACCGAAAAACCGATTTGTACAAATTGAAAACGAATAAATAAATTCCAGGATGCTGGAAGTACGATCGATGAAAACCTATGTACCATCATTGTCGGTATCGTTAATTTCATCTCAACGTTTTTGGCCACGGCACTCATTGACAGAGCCGGAAGGAAAATTTTATTGTACATTTCAAACGTTTCCATGATTTTGACACTCGGAACTTTGGGAACTTTTTTTTATTACAAAAATTCCGGTGAAGATGTCACGGACTACGGATGGCTTCCTCTTGCCAGTTTCGTTATTTACGTCGTGGGTTTCTCACTCGGATTCGGTCCCGTTCCCTGGCTCATGATGGGTGAAATTTTACCAGGTATTGCCCATCAATCATTTAAAAACTTATTACGAATCCCCAAAAATCCTCGTCTTCGTATTTGAAATTTTAATTTTTTTTTTTTTTTTTTTTCCAGCCAAAGTCAGAGGATCCGCTGCCAGTCTCACGACGGCATTCAACTGGATGTGCACTTTTATCGTCACGAAAACATTTGCCGACATAATCGCGTCCCTCGGAAACCACGGAGCTTTTTGGATGTTTTGCATCATTTGTTTCGTCGGTTGTTTCTTCGTTTATTTCTTCGTACCCGAAACTCGTGGTAAAAGTTTAGAAGACATCGAGAAAAAATTCGCTTCGACGAAATCCCCCAGACGAAGACGATTGAGCAGCATTGCCAATTTAAAACCCACGCCTTTATCGGCTTGATTATTATCATTATTATTACAATTATTAATGAAAATAACGACGCGTTTATTATATGTAAGTAATCGCAATGCGGGGAGGTAGGGGGAGGGAGGGAGGGGGGAGGTTCAGGTAGTAAAAAAAAAAAAAAAAAAAAAAAAAAACTCCCGAACGCGGAGTATTCGGTTGTGAAGTAAACAGATTGTGATTTCCATACTAAAAAAAAAAAATTTAGTTACCAAAACGCTACTATTTCTACTTCCACTACTATTACTACTACTACTACTACAACTACTCTTACTACTAATACAACTACTACTACAACTATTCTTACTACTACTACTACAACTATTCTTAATACTACTACTACTACTTAGGCAGAGTCTGTGATTGTGTATTTTACAACTCAATATGAATCTCAATTATTATTTTTTTTTTTTTTGTATATTAATCGTAAAAAAAGAAAAAAATGAGAGAATTCAAATAAGAGTCGAAAATATTTTTTATAGCTATATATATATATTATATATTTTTATAATAATATATATTTTTTTACGCGTAGGATTATCGAAAATTGAATCAAAAACGAAAACAATATAGTAATTTTTTTTTAAACGAAATTCATAACCAAATTATTATATACTATTATTATTATTATTATCCACCATTAAACACGACAAGGCTACTTGTCGGAGTTTTTAAGTATTTATCCGAGGTTTCTACCCGATTCCTTAGGGACAAATACTCGAATTTCGGTGGTGCCACTTATTATAAGATAGCACCACATCAATTCTTGAAGGTCTTCCTGAGTCCGTCTTTTTATTCGATGGGAACGATTTGTCTCCTGAACTGGGCTCCAGTGACTAACATCTTTGGAGTGGCCAGGGTCAGAAGCAGTGAAATTCACGTTCTCGTCGAGCTGCCTCAGGTCGACAGTAGAACAGGATTTTGTTTTTGGTTCTTACTTTGTCTTGTTCTCATTTTTTTGCTCTTTTTAAGCCAACAGCACGTGGCGTTCTCAAACGGTCACCCATCCAAGTTTGCACCACGCCCGATGCTGCTTAACTTCGGTGATCGTACGGGAACCGGTGTGACCAGCACGCTATGGCCGTTGGCTTTATTATTATTATTATTATTATTATTATTATTGTTGTTGTTGTTGTTGTTGTTTTTGTTATTTTTGTTATGTCAAACGAATAGACTTGAAATTTCAAAAAAAAAAAATGCCGTTAAAAAGGGTGCCATTAATTAAATTAATTGATTATTATTTTGTAAAAAAAAAAAGTACAACAAAAAAAAATTTCTTTCATTTAATGGTAGCTTTAGATTCGTTATTATTATTATTATTATTTTTACTACATATTTATATATAAGAAATTTATTTTTCAATATTAATTCGAATAATATTTTTTACCAAAAACTAACAAAAAAACAAATTTTTATTGTTCGCTACCGAATCATTAATAGCAAACTCCCCGAATTTTTCTCTTTTTTCAATTCATAATAATAATAATAATTTATTTATGTTTTTTTATGCAAAACTTAAAAAAACCGAACCTGAATTTGTTTTTTTTTTTTTTCTATCTATCTTCTTCTAACTTTAGCAATAGGTTCTAATTAAAAAAAAAATAAAAAAATAAAAAATAAACCAAAAGACTAGAAGAAAAAAAAAAGCTCAATTGTATATTATTAATTAAATTAAATTAAATTTATTATTATTATTATTATTATTATTATTATTATTATTATTATTATTATTATTAAACTTTATAACGTTTTTTTTACGCAGTCGATCGTTGTTGTTATCATGAAAAACCCGTCAAATAATTATATTTTGATAATTATATATATATATATATATATATATATATATATATATATATATATATATATATATAAATATTAATTTTTTTTTTTTTTTAAAATGTTAATTAATATCATTATTATCATCATCATTCGTTTGTTTGTATAACAAATCATGTAATGTAATACAGTAGTACAATGTAAATTTCAAACTCATCATCATCATTATCATCATCATTATCATTATTTTTTTTTTGTTTAAATTAATATTAATAATAATAATAATAATAAATTGTCCTTCGACGCGTTAGCGTAATTAAACTCATAAATAAATAAATAAAAAAAAAGAGCATAAGTGCATTTATATACATATATATAGAGTATAAATACAAATTATTTATATTTATTTAATTTTTATAATGATAATAATAATAAATAAATAAATAAAAATATATTTTTTAAATATGTTTTTTTTTTTTTTTTAATTTTTTTCATTAGCCTTAAATTAATTATTATTATCATCATTGAATAAGTTATTGTAAAACAATTAAATTTTTGTTAAGGACACTTTGATTATTTGTTAAAACAATAAAATTTACATCAAATTGATTAATAATATTATTTAAAGTGAGATATTAGGTTTAAATTAGGTACTTTCAATCGAAACAAACAGTTCTCATATTGTTATTGAATCCATTTTTTTTAAAAAAATAAATATTTATGTATAGTTTTCAATTCTTTCGACAAATAATGTAATTTAATTATAAAAAAATCTCATTTTAGTCGATTGTTAGTTTCCATTCTTTTTTTTTTTTTTATAACAATTGTTATTAACAATTAAAAGAATTGTAAAGGTATTTATGATTTAAAACAAATTTGTTTCGTTTGTTGCTCTCTACTATTAAAAAACAATAGGGAAAAAATGTAAGTCCATGTTCGACAAAAAAAAATTATTTTCGCCTTGAGATTTTGTTTTAAACCGTAATAAAAAGTTTAAATCGATAAATGCATCAAATTTATCCATACATTTTTAAATTACCTCACACAACTCAAATAACAGCTTGTAATTATTATTATTATTATTGTTTTAATAAAATGCTTTTTAATACTTTAACTTAAATAAAATGGCTTTAAAAAGTTTTCTCGTAAATACTTTACTATATTACTCGATGAATTGTGTGGCATATATTTAAATTTGTTTTTGCATGCTTGAAATGATGATGATGATGATGATGATGATGATGTGGATGAAAAAGTTTTGTGTGAGGAAAAAAAAAAATAAAAAAATTTCAAACTCACCCATGACTTGAACTCTGCATATAGCGCATGTATCGCATTCGACATCCCAACTCCACATAGCGACAGCATTCCATTTTTTTAATGTAAACATTTTTTCATTTTTATTATTATCAGAAGTATCACCTTTGTCATCGAATCCATTATTATTATCATTATAAATATTTTCTTGAGCCATTGTAAATCGAACTTTTTTTTATAATAATTTAATTTAAAATAATTGAAATGAGTAACTTATTTTTTATCAAAAAAAAAAAAAAAAAAAAAAAACTATCTAACCAGAAGAGGTTATTTATAATATTTTAATAAAAAATGACTATTCGATGATAAATATTATTAATTTTTATTAAAAAATCATTTGTTAAATTAATAACATTTAAGATTTTTCATTTATTACCCTTTTATATTAAAATTATACATGAAATTAAATCAAATAATAGAAAAAAGTAAATTGCAATCAAAAATTAAACTTTGATATTCTGTAATTATTATTTGAATACTTTTTCGATAAAATCGTTTAAAATTTTATTTTTTATCACAAAATTATTAAAAATTTTAATTTTTTCTGGTTTAAACTTTGATTAACAGAAAAGAATATAATGGATGACTGTATTTCAGATATTGAAAATTATTGTGTAATAAAGACAATATTAAAAGCTTAAATAAATTTTTACTTTAAATATAAATGAATAATGGAATGAAAATTAATTAAACATTAATTTTTAATATTAAAAAAAGAAAAAAAAATCACCTTAAATTAAGATATAAAGGGTTAAACTTGAAACATGATTTTTACCGCCAACTGAATTGTAAAAAAAATAATTTGAAAAACGCATACATTTAAATATAAATGATATAAATTTGTTAAATAATGTTTTTTTAAATCAAAAATAACAACTTTTCACAATTTTTATGATGAAAAATAAAAACCAAAAACTAATTTTTTATAAATTTTAAATTAAACACTTACACTTGACATGAGAAAATGCGGGACTTTATTAAAATTCACAGCCTTCTATCATAGAGTAAAAATCATTCGAATACGAGCAGACTAAATTTTTTAAGATATTAAATATTACTAATTATTTTAATATTATATAAAATTTTAAAAAAATGTCGTTAATTCAAAAAGGCATTCGAAACCGTAAGTTTTATTTTAATTTAAATATAAAATTCAGTGAAGCAATTTTATTGCCAAAAAAAAAAAAATTCCCAACAATGGACTTTGCCATTATTTAAATTTGTGATGATTGAAAAATTTAAAAAAAATTTTTTTATTTTATTAATTTGTTCCAATTATTATTTTAGAAAATTTATTGAAATCGATAAATTTAAATGTTTGCAATAGTCGGAACGCATCTGATTCTTCGACTTTCAAAAAATTAGCATTCAATACCGCTGGATATAATAAATATGGTCTCTATTATCATGATATTTTCGAACCAAGGCATCCACATTTAGATGAAGCATTAAGAAGATTACCTGAAAAAGAACGAATGGAAAGAAAATATAGAGCTATTATAGCTGCACAATGTGAAATCACTCATAAATATTTGCCCAAAGAGCAATGGACTAAATTTGAAGATGTATGTCACATTTTTAACACCTCCAATTTCACCTTATGTTAAATTTAAAATCTCTCGTCAGTGATTTTCACAAGTAAAATTTTCATTAATTTTTTTTTTTTTAGAATCATTATTATTTACAACCCTACTTAGATGAAATAGCAGCAGAACAAGAAGAAATAGAAGAATGGAATGCCAATCATTAATGAAACCGTTTTAAAATTTAATTTAGCACATACTATTATTATTATGTATTTTTATTTTCATGTAGATAATGATGTAGTTTAATCCGAGTGTAAATTAAAAAACATCAACAATATAAATCCAAATTATAAAATTTCAAATGTTTTTTTCAATTTTTCATGTTTACACACGAGTTTGACTCCATTTTCAAAACCAAATCAATTAAATATTTCAATATCGATTTTCCCCACACACACACACACACACACACTCAATAAAATTAAAAATAATAAATATTATACAATAATTTTATTGACAAATTAATTATATATAAAATATTATATAAAACAATATGACTTATGATTTAAAAAAATTTATATATAAAATTATTTTATTAAAAATAAAGTAATTAATAATAATAATTAAACAAACAATTGTAATTGTTTTTTGTTTTTTTTTGTTTTTTTTTTTTTTTCGTAGTTTTTTTAAAACATTGTAAAAAAATTTTTTTAAAAATATTTTTTTTTTTACGTAAATATGATATTCGACGTGACTGAATTTAATATTACACGTGACTTTTTACAAAGAATCACACACACACACACAACAAATTTACACAGACATAAAAAAAAAAGGGTGACCGTGAAAAATAGCCTTAAATATCATTTTAAATACATTTTTTTCATTTACCTTTCGAAATAATGACTTGTAATAATAATAATAATAATATTATAATATTGTACAAATAAGTCAAACGTTTGATGATTCAACAACAAACAAACAAACAAGCAAACAAGCAAACTCTCTTTTGTTTTGACATCGGCTTTTATCCAATCAAAATCCAATATAAAAAAAAAAAATTTATTATAAATCATCGTCTCCTATGCCATCGTTATCAAAACATTCGTTATTGATAAGAGATTTCGTATTCGATGTAAATCCCACACTTTGAAATTTATCCGTTAGTTTTTTAACCGTTCGAGAATTCGAATTATGACCGTCCACGACGACGGAATTTTCTATTTGGCCGGAATTATTTGAACTCGAAGAATGTTTGGCCTATTAATGATACAAAAAAACAAATATTTAAAATTTTAAAAATAAAAAAAAAAAAGTATTTGTTTGCACGTTAATATTACATTTTGAACGGATGAAAAAATATCGGAAGAACTATTGTATTGATTGACCGTTATTATTTGACTCGACCCGTCTCTTTTTATATAATTCCAATTATTTGATTTCATCGGCGTTATCGTTTTCCTTCTCACGCCGGATTTTTTTAACAATAATTCGTCTACCATACTTTGAAGGCAAATGGACATTATTATCGCTTGCTCCGACGATATAGTTATCCATTGCAATTTATCTTTGGCCATTAAATATTCAAATGATAATTCCAAATTGGAAGACTCTAAATTTTTCGGATCGTCCTATATAAAAGTCATAGAGTAAATAACACATTCGATTAAATATTTGAATAAATATGAAAAATGATAATAAAGTTTATTTATTTATTTATTTATTACGGAATGGAGTGTCGTTATTCTCCAACATCTCATTCTTGTCACTTTAAAACTTCCCTGTCTCACGTCGTCTCCATCGGAAAGTTTAACTCTTAAATTTAATTCTTTATTTCCGGCTGATACTAAAACTTTCGAACCCGGATACGGATAGTCGCATATACAAGGACGGAATTGTAGGAACCCGTAATATTTAAGCGTTCTAGCTAATTCCAAGTACTGTAACCATGATTTTACAATCATTGTTAAAATTTCTTTTACATTTAGAGCGTGAAAAATAATTTATATTCTCTGATTGTTGTTACAAACCTGTTTTTTAGCACCTCTCGATTGAAAATTAGCTAAAGTGTTTCTTGTTTCTTGACTGCAAAGTACCCAACCATATTCTATGTCACTAATCGTTTGAATGTATAAAAGATTTAATGATACTTTATTAGTCATTAATTCCAAATCGTAGCCAGGATCCCAATAACTAAAAAAAAAAAAAATGATGATGATGATGTAAGATCAATCGACATGATGTTAAACGATTATTATTAATAGAAATACATTTTACAATGAGAGGAAAGTCAATCGTTTAAGAAATGTTCGAATGGAATTAGATTAGGTAAAACATTTGGTTTATTGTGAGAGTTACAATTGATAAAGAAACCATTCTTATTAAAAACTGTAAAAGATAAGAATTATAGAAGCATGATCAATCTAAAATGAATGACCTAAAGTGACCCCAATTTAAAATATTAATTTTTCATACGAGATAAAAAAAAAATCCATGTAACACAGTATTAGATATTATTAGATGTGATAAAATCAAATAACTTTATGTAAATAAATAAATAAATAAAAAATTAATTATTAAATATACCTTTTTCTCAAAACGATTTTATTAGGACATTTAATCGATTGTTGAGATAAATATGGACTTTCGAAATCCTGAAGCCTTCTAATAACAGTTATGTCACCATCTTCTTCTTGTTTAATTATAAATAATGCAAAATAATAAGTATATTCTTCAGGCAAGTTAATTTTTTCACATACTTTCTGAAAAATTTTAATTTTTGTTAATTAAAAATGAAAATTTTTGAATATGATTAATTATTTATGGCACATTCTTACTTCTAAAATATGATCTGATCGTTCATTTGTTAAAACTTTTAATGTGATTTTATAGCCATTCATTAAAAATACATTTATTGAAGTGTTTTCTATCACCAATCCACTAGTCTCTTGCTGAGCGATTGATAAAAAAGAATTAAACAATTCTGAATTACACAATGTAGGTTCTTGCCCGACTAAAATTAAACATTAAAATTCATCTTTTTTTTTTCTGCTAATAGTTTTTCTTTTCTTTTTGTTTAAGACAAAACAAACCTGCTTGAATATATTTTTCTAATTGCAGTCTCCTTTCTTCTAATTGTGTACCAGAAAGGGGTAAAATTTTTTTCGATGGAAAAGGTGGTAATTGTGATGCAATCAAACTAAAATCTTTTTTAATTTGTTCATAAAGGCAATGCAACTGTCTATACCTGACAGTGCAATGAAATATACCATTTACATGAATATTGAATCCCTATAATTACATGAATTGTAAATAAAAACTTTTAAATTGTATATAAAATGTATTTAAACGGATTAAAATCACTTACCGTATAACTATTACCATTTTCTTTAAAATCATTACAGTCTGGTATTGAAAAATGCATTTTTGATATTTATTATTAAAAAAAAAAAAAGAAAAAAATTACTGTTTTAAACAATCATTCTGAAAAGTTAGGAAACTAAATTAAAAACGAAACCGATATAAATAAATAAATAAATAAAGTAATACGCACTGAACGTTATAAAAAATATAAAAAAAAACTTTATCAATTACAATGTAAAACAAAGAACATAGGCATAGATTCTCATTTTAAGAACAACTATTAGTTCAAAAGCCTATCTAAGTAATAAAAAAATTGTTAAGTCAGCGCCATGTTTGTTTACGCCTCCTGAGTACAATAAAATAAAAACTAGTTGAGAAATAATTTTTTTTTTTTAATTAAAGTGACGTTTTCTTTCTTTTATTTTTTAATTTTAAATTAATTAATATTATTAGTTAATAAAAAAAAAAAAAACATTTAATTAATAACTAAACTTCTAAAAATGAATAAAATTTTATACGTTTCGTAAATATTAATAAAAATAATTTTTATTTGACAACAATAATAGTGTGCATTTTATTTGTTTTTTATTTTTATTTTATTAACTATATTTATGGATATTATTTTATCGTTTATTAATCAAATTAATATTTTATTGCAAAATTATTCTAATAAGTATTAATTTTTTATTAAATCCAATCAATAATTTGAAAAAAAAAAAAAAGAAAAATTTTCACTGTGTTTACCATTTTGGCTTTAATTTTGTTTAAACAAATTAATAGAAATCATAAAAAATTATTTTTTTTAATAATAAATTAACATAAAAAATTCTTATTAACAATAATTTATTTATAAAAATAATTAAAACTTAATTATAAAAAAAAAAAAAAGTAAATCATTTTAATTAAACTTATCGACATAAAATTTTAAATTTTCCAAATCGTTTATTTCTCTTTTTTAAACGAGTAGTATTATTATTATGAGGACAAAAAAATGATTTTGTTATTCATAATGTTTTATTTGAAAATATCAAGTGATGATAATGATAACATTGTTTCATACAATTACAATTACAAAAAAAGAAAATAAATAAATAAAATTATTATTATTAATGTTATTCGACTAAAACTCCAGAATCTAGAAAATCGATTAAATTTATTTTTGAATTTTCTGGTAGAGTTCTTCCCAAATCATGTAAAATTTTCATAAATGTCGGCACAGTCGCTTCTCTATAACCTTTTCTTTGAGTTTTTATTATTTCAGCGGCTACATATTTTGGATCGTTCATGTTAAAAATATTTGGAAATCTAAAAATTATAAATTTTAGTCATTCAATACTTATTGATTATGATTTAGTGATAAAAATTACAAATGTATTGTACCTGATTTTAACCTTCTTGCATAACCCAGTGTCTGTCATGTAAGGATATATTGTCGTAAACTTAACATTACTTCCTTGGATTCGAAGTTCTTCACAGAATGCTTCCATCAAACCTTTTTGAAATTATTATTATAATTTAAATTAATTCTATTTAATTAAATAAATTTCATGTTAAATTTAAATTAATTACCTCTTACTGCAAATTTACTACTACAATAAGCAGTTAAATTTTGTGTACCTATCAAACCAGCAATAGAAGAAAGACCAACAACATGTCCATGATTTTTTTCTATCATTCCAGGTAAAAATGCTTTGATGAGCTAAAAACAAAAAGAAAAAGTTTTTTTAACGTGTTTTTAATAATATCACGATTTTATAATTTTATAATTACCCAAAAATGTGCTAAAACGTTGACATCAAATATTTTTCTTATTATTCCGGCGTGTGATCTTTCCATAATTTAGTAGGCATTATTCCAGCATTATTAACCAATATCGTTACGTCACCAATTTCAGATTTGACTTTTTTAAACAATTCATCAACATTTTCTTTTTTCGATACGTCACATCTTAAACAAACAGCCAAATTATTTGTTAATCAAAAAATATTTAACCGGGAAATAAGTAAACTTTTCCTTACTCGTATGCCGATGCTTTTATTCCGAGATTTTTAAGTTCATCTAACGTTTCTTTATTACCATTTGGATTAACATCGACGCATATTATTTCCGCACCCAAAGCTCCATATTGTTTTGCTAATTCCTTACCAATACCGTGACCCGTTCCAGTTATCTAAAAAAACAAAAAAAAAGCAACAATCATTTCGACCTTTGACCCTGAAACACAATAATCGTAATAATAATAATAATTACTCACGAGTACTTTTTCTCCTGCCACTGATTTTTCTCCTCTCGGTATAAACAATCTCAATACGGTCAATATAATATCCGTTAATATTTTCAATTGAAGTATTATTATTTCGACCGTTAATAAAATTCCAGACGATATAACGTTTCTCATATTGTCATATTTATCACAACAATAATCATCATTATCATTATTATTATTATTATTATTTCTAAAAAAATAATTTACATTAAAATTATAACGCCTGCTGACGTCACAATTCATCCGAACCGATAAGATACAAATTTATCAATGATATGCATAATAATTATTCACTGTCGGAATTACTGAACGTACCTTTATTTGTGATAATAATAATAATAATATTTATTTATTTAAAAAACCGAACCTTAAATTTTTCTTTTTTTATCGTATTAATAATTTCGAATGCCTTTCTCTCTCTTTCTCTCCTTCTAAATTATTATTATTGATATTTCGGGTTATGTAAACGTATAAGTAATTTTATTAACGAGGGTTAAAAAATATTATTATTATTATTATTATTATTATTTTTACGTAATCGAACATGAAAATGTTTTTGAAAATGTTACGTAATGTATATATAAAAAAAAAAAAAAAATTCATGAAAACATAAAAATTAAATCAATTATTTATAACAAACAAGATTTAAATAAAAAAAAAAAAAAAAAACGTTACAACTTGTATGATTTCCCTTTAAATTTATTAAAAAATAACGGAAATTTATTATTATTATTATTATTATTATTATTATTATTACTTATTTATTTACTTATTGAAATCATTATTAATAATAATTGATTCCCCTTTTTTAAAAAAAAATGTTATTAATTATGATCTAATAATTATCCATTGTAATTTTATTAAATTATTTATTTATTAATCCCTTCCCAATTTTTTTTTTTTTTATTAAATTTATTTATTAACTTTGATGATGATAATAATAATAGTTATTAAACGTTTCGTTTTGACAAATTATTAATAAAAGTAAATAAATATCGAACGAAATTATTAAAATAAAATAAAAATGTAAATAAAATCGAGGCGAAAATTCAAATAATAATAATAATAATAATAATAATAATAATAATAATAATAATAATAAAAATAATTAAATAAATAAATAAAATAATTTTAATTAATAAAAATAATAATAATAATGATAAATACGTACTTGTTCATGTCGAATAATAAAATAAAATAAAATAAAAAAAACTTTTTTAATATATTCGAGAGTGTAACGAACAACAAACACAACAACAACCACAACAACGATGCCAACAACGTTTTCCTTACGTTTAACGACAATTTTTAAAACTCGTTAATAATATTTAAACGACAACAACGACAACCACGAAAAAAAAAAAAAATTAAAAAGTTGTTGTTGTTGTTTGTACATTCTTAAATAACATAAGATCGACGACCACTTGAAAATTGCATTTTTACATACACATAGAGAGAGAGAGAGAGAGAGAGATACACGCTAACGATCTATGACCTTATTTTCTCTCACTTTATTTATTTTTAATAATAATAATAATAATAATGATAATGATTCCTTTACTTAAATTTGTATCGAATCTGATACAAAAAAAAAAAAAAAAGTTCTAGATTATTCTTTGGTGGTGATTGTTGTACACAAACTAACATTTATAATACATAGATATTATTATTATTATTAAAACGATAGAAGGATTCGAATGAAAAAAAAAGAAATTATAATTTAATTTAAATTAAATTTCAATTATTTAACGAAAAAAAAAAAAAGTTTAATTGATAGAAGGTGGAGAAAATTAAAAAACTTTCAAATTTTTTTAATAACAAACAAACGATTGTTATTATTTTGTTGTTGTTTGTTTTTCTACTTTTCATCGATCCTTTCTCGAGTTTATGGCGTGACGATAATAATAATAATTTTTTTTGTAGAAAACCTTGAAAATTTTTATTTTTGCACACTATTATAACAATCTGGCATGTGATGATGATAATAATAATAATTACATTTCATTTTTATATTTTCCGTCTTTTATATTTCCTTGAACTGACTTTAATATACGTGTCGTGGCACCTATCATCGTGACGTCATAACTAATGGCACGCCGCAAGAATAAATAAAATCCGAATGAATATATATAAAAAAAAAAACTTTTTCAAACGTTTTTTTTTTTTTTTTTTTACAATTTTCGATAACAACAACATATCATCATCATCATCATCATTTTTATTCTCGTTCGTAACCGTTTTATTTGCGGTCGTTTAAAATTTATTTTTATTTAAAAAAAAAAAAAAAAAATTGTCAGTCGTGTTCTTCGAGAGTAGCACCTAAAAAATCTATGAATGACGTTGCACAATTCCATGGAAATAATCTCGTGACGTTATTTAAATGTAACAAATATTCCGGTGCTGTTGCTTCTCTATATCCTCTCCTTTGTGCTTTTATTATTATTCTCGCCGTTTGACTCGGAGTTAACATTCTCATGAAATTACTAAATCTGTTAAAAAAACAAGAGGAACAGTTAGCATCCGACATCTTGCGAAATAAATGTCGATTCGATGGGAATGCTCACTTAATTTTAGGTTTTTTACAAAGTCCCGTGTCCGTCATGTATGGATATATCGTTGTGAATTTAATATCGAGTGAATTTTTCGTACGGATTTCTTCCGACAAACCCTCCATCAAACCTTTTACAAAAATAAAAACTTATTATTATTTTAATAATCGTTTTGAAGGAGGTACGCCATTTTGATTTTCCTCATACCTCTGACAGCAAATTTACTCGCTGTGTATGGGACGACGTGGGGAGAACCTATAAGACCCGCGATCGATGATATTCCGACGATGTGTCCTTTGTTATTTTTAATCATTTCCGGTAGGAAAGCTTCCAGGAGCTAAAATAAATGACAATTTTTTTTTTACATTTTTTCTATCATTGTTCGAAATTTTGTGTACTGGAAAAATTTGTATTCACCCAGAAATGTGCAAATACGTTCACGTCGAATATTTTTTTTATGTCTTCAGGTTCGTGTGCCAAAAATTTTTTACACGGCATTATACCTGCGTTGTTGACGAGAACGGTTACCGTTCCGACATCTTTTTTTATTTTGTCAGCCATTTGAAAAACGTTTTCACGCGATCGAACGTCGCACCTATTTGACAAAAAAAAAAATATATTTATACGCACATTAATATTATTATTATTTGAAAATTTATTTATTTAATGTAAACGAACGTGTAGGCGTGAGCGTTTATTCCAATTTTTTTTAATTCTTCTGCTGTTGTTGAATTTGCAGATTCGTTCACGTCGACGCAAACAACTTCAGCCCCTAATTCGCCATATTGTTTAGCTAATTCTTTACCTATTCCGTGACCCGTACCTGTTATCTGAGCAAAAATACCAAATTTTTAAAAAATAAAATCCACAAATTTGAAAAATAATAAATTTAACTTACCAAAACTATTTCTCCAGCAACATTTTTTTCTTTCGGAGGTACAATTAATTCATACAGAGCATAGAAAACGTAATAGACGAATCGAAAAATAAAAACCGTTATGTCGGCCGTTATTGTGAGTATTTCGTATATTTTTCCTGCCGTGTTTTGCAATTCCCTAAAAAAAATAAATAAAATTTCAAACAACAATGTTTTTGACGTTTTTATAACTTTATAAATTAACAAAAATATATATTAAAAAGAAAATTCACGGTTGGAGGTTAACGATTTCTTAACCTCATCTTTGTCAATTACAAACCACCCTGAAGAAAAAAAAACACATTGAACACAATTTTTAAAAAAAGGAAATTGCAATTAAGTAAATAAATTCGGAAAATTATTTTCCCCGTTAACACTTTTCGTCGTTAATTAAGACAACATCGAAAACTAATAATAATAATAATAACTCAATACTTTTAAAAGAAAGATGAAAAATTGAATTTTTTTGAAAACGACAAGTGTCGAAAAAATTTCGTTCCATTCCATAGAATAAAAATTCAAAAATTTTTTAAACTTTGAAAGAAAGTTGGCAACGTCGCGCGACGTCGGGAAGGGGATGGAGTGCTAAAAAATCGTGCAAATAAGTCCGCCATAATTAAAAAAAAATAAGTAAACAAATTAGACAACGATTTTATTCGTGTCGGGTTTTTATTTTCATTTTAAATAAATTCAAAATTAATTTGACGAGAAAGAGAAAAATAAAATAAAAAAAAGAAAAAAAGAAAAAGAGTGAGATAAAGAAAACAAAAAAGTTAACGAAATAATTTTAATTTTATCTAAAAACCGGATCAAGAATTTCAAAAAAGAGATATAATAATAATAATAATAATAATCATTCAAAATGTTAACTTATTTCGATGAAACCATTTCGCAAATGGAATCTATTAGATTCCTTAATCGTAATTTAAAACTTATTAACGAACTCACATCGAAAACTCATTTCACGAGGGAAGAAGTACAGAATTTATGTATAATTCATTACAAATTAACGAAAGAAGGAGGGCCATTAAATTACCGGAAATTTAGAGAAGTTGCTCACAGGTTGTTTGACATTTCAGGTATATATCATTCTATATATATAAATTAATCAATTTTATCATGTTTGCCCCAAAGAGTGAGAGTGACAGAGAGAGAGAGAGAGAGAGAGAGAGAGGGGGGGGAAACATTATTAATCCTCAAGGGTATTATTATTATCATCATCATTGTTTTTATTCATCCTATCAATTTTCAATTTAACCTTATTCAATAAGGATTATTTAATATTATTATTAATTGTTTATATTTGATGATAATAATAATAATAATAGATCAATTTGATAATTTATTAAACAAAAATTAAATTCACAAATTTTTAGGGTTTTCAATTTCATTCAAAAAAAAAAAATATTTAACGGTTTTTTTTTTTTAAATAAATTTCTTGTTATTTATTTGCAGGAGCGGAGCTTTATGATAAAATTTACAATAGATTCGATCCGAATCGAGCAATGCATGTTAATTTGGAAAATTGGGTCCTGGGTTTATCCATATTATTAAGAGGAAGTTTAAGGGAAAAAATTAATTATTGCTGGAAGGTTATTTAATTTATTATTTTTAAATTATTATTATTATCATTATCATTATTTTATAAAAATCAAACTTGATTAATTTAGAAATAAATAGGAAAAAGATCAAAAATTTCAAATTTAACGGTCGTGTGTGTATATAAGAATAAAATGATTTGTTTAAGGTTTATGATCTCTATGGAACGGGTTACGTCACAAGAGAGCTCATGTTTCAGTACATGAAAAATTCCATAATTAAAACGTCAGCCGGAGAAGATGCAAATGAAGTTGTCAAGGTAATTAAAAATTTTTTTTATTTTTTTTTTTATTTTTTCATTTTGATTTTGCGCGTGTTGAATCCTGTATCGATTCGATTTAAATTTCAATTAATGATTAATATTATCGGATAGAAATTTTCCAATTTTGAGAGTTTAAGACAGAAAAAAAAAAACCGTTTTACAGGATTTGGTTGACGTTATATTAAAAAAAATGGATATAGATCGTGACGGTAAACTTTCGTATACGGATTATAAAACGAGCGTTTTAAGAAATCCAATGCTTTTGGAATCTTTGGGCCCCGTTTTACCACCCAGACCCTTTGTTTTGGCATTCCTTACGACATTTACGACAAACTACGACAAAGCATGATGGAAAAATTACTTTACTATTATTATTTTTTTTTTTCTATCGTCTTTTACCGAAAAAAAAAAAAAAAAAACTTTTACTATATATATATATTTATATATTTATTTTCAATATAATTTATATATGGGGGCTTAAAACGTTGAAACTTAATTTTAAAATTTAAAAATATTATTTAGTAGTCTAAGGTTCAGGGTTTGTAAAAATTAGGGTAACGATCAAGGTCGACAACTTCGTGTATTATAGACAAAACTTTCCGCGAATAATTTTTTTTTTGACGAACGAACGTGCGAACGTCTGGAATTTTATTTTAAAAAAAAAAAAAAAAAAATGTCGAAGGTGGTGAAATTAAAAAGTATAAAAGAAATTTTAAAACGCGATATATAAAAATGGAGAAAGTAAAATCGTTGCCGGAATACAAAACGCACACGAATATCAATTTGAAAAAAAAAAAAAAAAAAAAAATGGCGAATAAATGAAAAATAATGAATAATAATAATAATTTTTTGGGGAAATGAACAATTGGTATTATTGTATCGAGAATCGAAATTTACGCTTTTGTTTCCCCTAACGACCTTCGATATATCGTTTATTGTAAATAATTGACCTGGTGCAAGAAAAATGACATTTTAGTATGACAATTAACGAGGGTCAAATCGTTTGAATGACGTAACAATCAAATATTTCTGACGAATTCGTTTGTTGAAACCATCTCTCTCTCTCTCTCTCTCTCTCTCTCTCTCTCACTCATTCGCTCAGTTTTTTCTTATCGGATGAAATGCAAAAAAAAAAAAAAAAAGGGAAAAATTATTAAGGAAGTTAATTTAACCGTAGGGATTTTATTATGAAATCAATCGTATCATTGTTTACGATCAGACGTCAAGGTCACGCGCGTGTATGGAAAACATCGGGGAAATAAAAATTCAAATTTTATTTCATTTTACGTCGTTGGCACCCCTGACCCGCCCTCGTAACCCATAATAATTATTTATACATATTATTTTTATCCACACATTTTTTTTTTTTTGTACGGATTCGATCACGATCACGTGACTAACCAAAAAAAAAAAAAAATTTTTTTTTTTATTATTCTATGAATGGTTTAAAATGTAAATAATGCCGTCGTATTATTTATTCGGGAATGGAAAAAAAAAAAAATTAAATTTAAAATTAAATTTTTGGCGCGTAACTTTCTCTTTTAGATTTTTTATACGTAACACGCTCGCGCACGCACACACACACACACACTAAAAAACGAATAAAAATAGAAAAAAATAGAAAAAATACTTACTCGTTCGTTGAATTCATCTCGATTAAATTTATTATTATTATTATTATTACTTATGAACTTATCATGTATGTTTATTATTATTATTATTATTATTCGATATAATCACTTTGCTCGTAAAAACCTGGTAGAAAAAAAAACGTTTAAAATTATTTAAATTTAAAAAAAAAAAAAAAATATTATTTCTAAACGGAAAACAGTCGGATTACTGCCTATAAAAAAAATTTATAGGAAGTTTATTTAAACGTAATTCCAAAATCAAACAAAAGCCAAAATATCATTTTAGAAAAAAAACGTTGCCAGTTCGAATCATTTTATTTAAACGCATTTCCGACTTGTAACGTGCAAAATGCAACATTCTAACGTTATCAGTTTTATTATTATTATCATCGTAATTTCAGGTACGGACTCGACTCGCGCATTTACGTATTAAAAAAAAAAAAAAAAAAAAATTCTAACGTATTTTTCATTTTAAAAGTTTTATTTTTTTTTTTAAATTCGCCCGCTTCCGCGCGAGCGCGCTACCTCTTCGCGACGAACGTGCTCAAACGAAACGAACGGATTTTAAATTTTTGGCGCCAAAATTTAAAAAAATCACGATTATTTAAAAAAAAATAATTTCTTGCTATCGATCGCGTATGACAAAAAAAAAAAAAAAAAACAAAATGGCGTACGTTTTATCCGTTAAAATAGTAAAACGAACGTTTTTATTTTTAAATTAACAAATAACTTATCGAACGCGTGCGTTTTGCTCTCGTATTTATAACGATTCAAAAAAAAAAAAAAAATGAAGAAAAAAAAAAGAAAAAAAATCAGAAAAAAAAACGGTTTTTTATTACGTAACGCATTCAAATATTGTATTTATATTTATCCAATAATATTTAGCATATAGTATAACATTCATTGAATAATCATTGAAAAACGATTCAATGCTTTCGCTATTTAATTACGGCACTGGTGAACTTACTCAGGCTTAATTTCTAAACGTATCAACTCCATTTTTTTCGATTCGGTTTAATTTACGTGTTAAACTTTTAATACTACCACTCTAAAAAAAATTATTATTATTATTATTATTATTATTATTATTATTATTATTATTATTATTATTATTATTTTTATTTTTATTAATAATACTTTAAACAAATACATAAATAAATAAATAAATAAATAACGTACATTTACGACGGTTTAATTAAAAAAAAAAAAAAAATTTCTTTTATTATTATTTTTCTTTTTGGGGGGGGGAGGGGTGCACTTATGGGAATACGTTCGATGTCCATTTTTATTTTTATTTTTTATTTTTGGCGTAAATTGTTTGGCTTTATAATCGTATTCAAATTTCATTTCCGTTTCCTGTTTCTTTTTTTTTTTTTCTTTCTATTTTTGTAATTCATAATAATGTGCGCGAATCAAAATAAATGATTGATGATGATCTTTGTCCAAATGATAAGTAATGATTGATTATTCGATTATTATTATTATTATTATTATTATTATTTTAATGTGCGTGTGTGCGTGGGTGTAATATCGATTTGGAAATTGTTTATTTATTTTTTTTTTTTTTGAAATTTGCCGTGATTAAATCACGTGTGGATGCAAACACTTCCAACAGGAAGACCGCCATTAAGGGTCAGAAAATGTCAACTGCATACGCAAACAAACAACTTTTAATTGCAAACAACCATTCAAACGATGGCTGTCTTATACAAACGGAAGTTCATGGAGAGTTTTTGGAAAGATAAAGTTATTCGTCTTTGGATAAAGTATCAACCGTGTTTGTTCCATCGGGAAGTCTCTGGAGAGTTTCATTTATTTCCCTGAAGAATGTTTCGACTTAGTACTGACACGTGCGTTCCAGTGTTGAAAATACTTCTCCACGTCGTCATAACGATTTAAATAAGATGTTTGCCATGAACTCAAAATCGATGGAAGTTGTTGTTTGTTTGTTTGTTTTCAAGACTGACTTTACCACCAAAACATTCGAGGGGAAACAAGTTTTTCTGGAATCCAAGTTAATTTTATCAGAAAATTTCTTACCGTGGGATGGATTATTAACACGGCAGCGATTCGTCGTGGCAGCAGTAAAATCAAAGTCGTCGACGTCAACGATAATAAATCAAAGGAGATTTTACTGGAAAAGGTGCGAAAGGGGAGGAAGGTGGGGGAGGTGGAGGGGAGGTGGAGGGG